TGCCACAAGTGACCTTCCAATCTTCAAATCTGCTGCCCTGGATGGGTCTTCCACTGCTTCCACAAGCATTGCACTTTTTTGGGGATGTTATTCTATCCTACCCCAAATTATCTTCTCTGATATATGGGGTATTGTAGTTGACTTAAGTGCTGTGACATGCAAATCAACGGATGTAGCAACACTTACTGGAATTTGGCCTTTGTTGTTTCCAATCGTTATTTTATCGAAGTTAACTGCACACTTCCTCGGTAGTAAATAGTCCAATCCTAATATGCATTGGTCTTCAATGTCAGCCATCGGTCCCTAATTTAGCAGTGTAAGACTAGGGGCGAAGGCAGCTAGTCATCACCACCCACCGCCAACTCTTTAACCAACAAATAGCGGGATTGACCGTCACATTATAACGCCCCCACGGCTGAAAGAGCGAGCATGTTTGGTGGAACAGGGATTCGAACCCGCGACCCGCAGTATGCGAGTCGAGTTCCTTAACCACCTGGCCATGCCGGGCCTTGTGGAGAAGGTTAGACACGCATTCATTGCGTTGCAGGCATAATGGTGCAGTTCATGGGCAGAAATATTGTTATTAAGGTTTTGAATTAATGCATATTTTTAAATCTTTACATTTTCTGAAAGCACTGAAATGTTACTCTGATATATTTCTGGTTAAGTGGATTCCAGTGATAATGACTGAGCATCAAAATATGCAAGATCCCATGTTTTGGTATTTAAGTGGCATCAATTATTGAACTGGAGTCAAGGACACAGGTTCATTATTTTTATAGTCTTACATCTAAAGATTGAAATAAACTTTAATTTCAAGTGATAATTTCAAAGTTCAAAGGCAGAAAAGGTTAAATTTATTTGTAATAAATAGATTAAAGCTATCAAAATTACATATAAAACTGATATACTTGTTAACAATTACGAAAAATGAATCTGAGTGTAAAATATTTGCCCAAGAATCAAACTGAGAGACCAGTTTCTCATTGTAAAGGGAGTTGTTGGAATATTTCAGAATTACTGTGTACAAGAATAATCTTATGTGAACTACTTAAGAGAGAAGATTCTATAAGTTTGATTTATTATATACTTTTTAATAGGTGATCAAAATTGAACTTAAACCTATTTCTATTTTGTAAAACCTGTTGGTTAATTACTCCCAGCCTATTGAATCAATCTCAAACAATATTGGCAGGCTGACGCTTTACCCAATGCTGAATATTCTAAAGGTGTTCAAGGTCAAAATATGAAAGTTACTGGGTTGTTTCTAAAACAACCACGCTTTTCTCTTGGTCAATGAGCTGTAGGGTGTTCAAGGGTGGAATCACGGCAAAATCTTTATATAATGGCTGGAGACGGCTTAAATGGGTAATGAAGAAAAACTTTAATATAAGTTTAACATGAC